CACCCATCCCCCCACCCGCCCCCTGCTTCCTACGCATGGCCACCGCCACTGCGAGTAGTCGTCATTGATACCTGCTGCTTACCATTTCGAATTTGCTGAGCAGCTTCATTGCAAAGACGCACTGCGTCGGCTTGTGTCGCACCTGCAAGACAGAAATCAATGATTAGTCTCCTCCTCCTCATCGCTCGCTCCCTTCTCCCGTCTCCTCCTCCTCCTCCTCGCTTACTTCTCTCCTCCTCCTTCTCGCTCGCTTCCTTCTCCCGTCTCCTCCTCCTCCTCCTCCTTGCTTCCTTCTCGCTCGCTTCCTTCTCCCGTCTCCTCCTCCTTCTCGCTCGCTTCCTTCTCCTCCTCATCGCTCGCTCCCGTCTCCTCCTCCTCTTCGCTTCCTTCTCCCGTCTCGACGGAGCGCGCGGAGGCATCGCGTGTCGCGGCGCTGTTTTAAGGACAGACGTGACAGTTTCCACTTAGCGATATCGCGTTCACTGTTTGTGTATAACGACGGAGGCGGTATCGAGTCACGCGAGAGTGACTGCCGGTCTACACGAGTTGCACGTACAATTCTCAGGGCCGATCTCCAGACTTTCTTCTGGGCGGCTCTCGCCCGCACCCATCCAGAGGCTTTCTAGCAGTGGGTGGGGGGATTCACAGAGATTTCAAGAAGATTGCGTTCATTAGGCAAAAAACTCCCAGGCGGCTCAATCATTGACCACCCGTTTTATGAAACTATTTCTTAGATTTAATCGACACGAACGTCCGTCACAAATTGACACCCAACTCTTCGCGCGAAAAAAAACAACTTCACCGGAGCATTCAGGTCAATCAAATCGGCGCGCAAGGAAATGACCGGTGGTCGCGCTAAGTTTCGCCCATGCGTCCATTTAAAATCCGATTCGCTATTACGCCGTACGTAGCGCGATGGAATCTGCGCAATTTACAAAGCCGGCAATGTTCCGCGGAGGCGGTGATGGAGATTGTTTATGTGGGCGAGCGCTGCAGCTGCATGCTGTCGCTATGCATCATGCGCCGCCGCCGCCGCCGCCGCCGCCGACATCTGTGGCTAGGAGGTTCACACAAACCTCAATGATGACGTGCGCGCGTGTGTTATGTGTGCGTGCGTGCGTGCGTGCATGTGTGATGCGTGTGTGTATGCATGTTTTATGTTTGCGTGCGTGCGTGCGTGTGTTATGCGTGGGTGTGTGTGTGTCACTGTGGTGCATGTGATGCGTGCGTACGTGCATTTGTGCACGTGCGTGCATTTGTGGTGCGTGTGCACGTGCGTGCGTACGTGCGTGCGTGCGTACGTGTGTGATGCTTGCGTGCATGTTTGATGCGTGCGTACGTGCGTGCGTGCATTTGTGATGTGTGTGATGCGTGCTTAGGGCATGTGTTATTATGCGTGCGTGCGTGCGTGCGTGCATGTGTTATGCGTGGGTATGTGTGTGTGTGTGCGTGTGTGTGGTGCGTGCGTGCATGTGTTATTAGTGCGTGCGTGCGTGTGTTATTATGCGTACGTGCATGTGTTATACGTGCGCGCGTGAGTAGTGAACTGGACTCCCTCCCTCCCCCCTCCACCCGTGCCGACACCACGCTGTGATCGCGTGGCACATACCTACGATAACTCGACGCATCTGTCTGTTTCACCTCACGCTGCACCCGTAGACACGCCCTCATCCTCCATCACACTTCACCCCCCTCACCCTACCACCCACCCAAACAAACAATTCACCACCCACCCAAACAGACAGACAGACACTTCAGAAAACAGACACCCAAACAGACAAACAAAACTTTCACCCCCACTCACCCAAACAGACAGACAGACACTTCACCCCCACCCACCCAAACAGACAGACAAACACTTCACCCCCACCCACCCAAACAGACAGACAGACACTTCACCCCACCCACCCAAACAGACAGACAGACACTTCAAAAACAGACAGACAGACACACACACTTCAAAACAGACAGACAGACAGACA